GAAAATCGCAACCCAAGGAATCCAACACTGCCAACACTGCCTACAATAACCCAGGCATCTAATGACCCTTCACGAGCACATCTCAAAGAAGGGAGACACACAATCTCTACTACCAAAAGCAATAAGAATAACCGGAGTAAACAACCACTGGTCATTAATATCACTTAATATTAATGGGCTCAATTAACCAATAAAAAGGCACAGGCTAAAAGATTGGATACGAAAACAGGATCCAACATTCTGCTGTTTGCAAGAAACACATCTCAACCACAAAGACAGGCACCTACTCAGAGTAAAGGGTTGGGAAAAGGTGTTTCAAGCAAATGGTCCTAAGAAAAAAGCAGGTGTGGCCATACTAATTTCTACCAAAACTGACTTCAAACTAAAATCAATCAGAAGAGACCGAGACGGTCACTTTATACTCATAACAGGAACAATTCATCAGGAGGACGTCTCAATCCTGAATACATACGCCCCCAATATAAAAGCACCTACTTATGTAAAAGAAATATTACTAGAACTCAAGGCAGACATCAAACCACACACACTAGTAGTAGGAGACTTCAACACACCTCTCTCTCCAAGGGACAGGTCAATCAGACAGAAACCTAATAGAGAATTAAGAGAATTATTGGAGGTAATGAAGCAAATGGACTTAACAGACATCTATAGAACATTCCACCCAAATAGGAAAGAATATACCTTCTTCTCTGCAGCTCATGGAACCCTCTCAAAAATTGACCACATACTCGGAAACAAAGGAAACCTCCACAGATACAAAAATATATCAGTGTGCACCTGTGTCTTATCAGATCATCACGGATTAAAGTTAGAAGGCAACAACCACGCTGCCCCCAAAAAACCGACAAACTCATGGAAACTGAACAGTCAACTACTGAACCACACCTGGGTCAAGGAAGAAATCAAGAAAGAAATTAAAGTCTTCCTTGAATTTAATGAAAATAAAGGGACAACATACTCAAACCTATGGGACACAATGAAAGCAGTGCTAAGAGGAAAGTTCATAGCACTAAGTGCCCACTTAAAGAAAACGGAGAATGCATACATTGGGGACTTAAAAACACACCTGAAAGCTCTAGAAAAAAAAAGAAGCAGACACGCCCAGGAGAAGTAGAAGACTGGAAATGATAAAACTGAGGGCTGAAATCAACAAAATAGAAACCCAGAAAACAGTCCAAAGAATCAATGAAACAAAAAGCTGGTTCTTGGAGAAAATCAACAAGATCGACAAACCCCTATCCAAAATAATTAAACGACAGAGAGAGAACACGCAAAAAAATAAGATCAGAAATGAAAAGGGGGACATAACCACAGACACAGAGGAAATTCAGAGAATCATTAGATCTTACTACAAAAGCCTGTATGCCACAAAACTGGAAAATACAAAAGAAATGGACATTTTTTTAAATAAGTATCATATACCAAGGCTAAACCAAGACCAGAATTAGAAATGGTTATCAAAAATCTCCCTTCGAAAAAAAGCCCAGGACCAGATGGTTTCAATGCAGAATTCTACCAGAACTTCCAAGAAGAACTAATACCTATACTCCTTAATGTATTTCACAATATAGAATCAGAAGAGTCATTGCCAAATTCCTTTTATGAAGCTACAGTTACCCTGATACCAAAACCACAAAAAGACCCAACCAAGAAAGAGAATTACAGACCGATCTCACTCATGAACATCGACGCAAAAATTTTCAATAAAATACTGGCAAACCGAATCCAAGAACACATAAGAAAAATTATCCATTATGATCAAGTAGGCTTCATCCCAGAGATGCAGGGCTGGTTCAACATACGCAAATCTATCAATGTAATCCACCATATAAATAAACTGAAAGAAAAAAAACCATATGATCATTTCACTAGATGCTGAAAAAGCATTCGACAAAATTCAACACCCCTTTATGATAAAGGTCTTGGAGAGAATAGGGATACAAGGGTCCTACCTAAATATAATAAAAGCTATTTACAGCAAGCCAACAGCTAACATTAAATTAAACGGAGAAAAACTCAAAGCCATCCCACTAAAATCAGGAACACGACAAGGATGTCCACTCTCTCCATACCTCTTCAACATAGTGCTTGAAATTCTAGCAATAGCAATAAGACAACATAAGGAGATCAAGGGGATTCGTATTGGAAAGGAAGAAGTTAAGCTTTCGCTATTTGCAGATGATATGATAGTGTACATAAGCGACCCCAAAAATTCTACCAAAGAACTCCTACAGCTGATAAACAGCTTTAGTAACGTGGCAGGATACAAGATCAACTCCAAAAATCAGTTGCCTTCCTATACACCAAGGATAAGGAAGCAGAGAGGGAAATCAGAGAAGCATCACCTTTCACGATAGCCACAAATAGCATAAAATACCTTGGGGTAACCCTGACCAAGGAAGTGAAAGATCTACTTGACAAGAACTATAAGTCTTTGAAGAAAGAAATTGAAGAAGACACCAGAAAATGGAAAGAGCTCCCTTGCTCTTGGATTGGGAGGACCAACATAGTAAAAATGGCAATTCTACCAAAAGCAATCTATAGATTCAATGCAATCCCCATCAAAATCCCATCAAAATTCTTCACAGATCTGGAGAAGACAATAATCATCTTTATATGGAAAAACAAAAAACCCAGGATAGCCAAAACAATCTTATACAATAAAGGATTGTCTGGAGGCATTACCATCCCTGACTTCAAACTCTATTACAGAGCTACAGTATTGAAAACAGCTTGGTATTGGCATAAAAACAGAGAAGTCGACCAATGGAATCGAATAGAAGACCCTGACATTAACCCACAAACCTATGAACACCTGATCTTCGATAAAGGAGCTAAAAGTATACAATGGAAAAAAGAGAGCATCTTCAACAAATGGTGCTGGCAAAACTGGATGTCAATCTGTAGAAGAATGAAAATAGATCCATATCTATCACCATGCACAAAACTCAAATTCAAATGGATTAAAGACCTCAATATCAGTCCGAACACACTGAACCTGATAGAAGAGAAAGTGGGAAGTACTCTACAGCACATGGGCACAGGAGACCACTTCCTATGTATAACCCCAGCAGCACAGACACTAAGGGCATCATTGAATAAATGGGACTTCCTGAGGCTGAGAAGCTTCTGTAAAGCAAAGGACACTGTCACTAAGACAAAAAGACAACCCACTGACTGGGAGAAGATCTTCACCAACCCTGCAACTGACAAAGGTTTGATCTCCAAAATATATAAAGAACTCAAGAAACTAGACCGTAAAAGGCTAATCAACCCAATTATAAAATGGGGCACTGATCTGAACAGAGAATTCTCAACAGAAGAACTTCAAATGGCCAAAAGACACTTAAGGTCATGCTCAACTTCCTTAGCGATCAGGGAAATGCAAATCAAGACAACTTTAAGATACCACCTTACACCTGTCAGAATGGCTAAAATAAAAAACACCAATGATAGCCTTTGCTGGAGAGGTTGTGGAGAAAGGGGTACACTCACCCATTGCTGGTGGGAATGCAAACTGGTGCAACCACTCTGGAAAGCAGTGTTTCGGTTTCTCAGGAAATTCGGGATCAACCTACCCCTGGATCCAGCAATACCACTCTTGGGAATATACCCAAGAGAGGCCCTATCATACAACAAAAGTATATGCTCAACTATGTTCATGGCAGCATTGTTTGTAATAGCCAGAACCTGGAAACAACCTAGATGCCCTTCAACGGAAGAATGGATGAAGAAAGTATGGAATATATACATATTAGAGTATTACTCAGCAGTAAAAAACAAGGACTTCTTGAATTTTGCATACAAATGGATGGAAATAGAAAACACTATCCTGAGTGAGGTAAGCCAGACCCAAAGAGAGGAACATGGGATGTACTCACTCATATTTGGTTTCTAGCCATAAATAAAGGACATTGAGCCTATAATTCATGTTCCTAGAGAAGCTAAATAAGGTGAATCCAAAGACAAACACATAGGCATCCTCAGAAATATTAACCTTCATCAGGCGATGAAAGGAGACAGAGACAGAGACCCACACGGGAGCACCGGACAGAAATCTCAAGGTCCAAATCAGGAGCAGAAGGAGACGGAGCACGAGCAAGGAACTCAGGACCACAAGGGGTGCACCCACACACTAAGACAATGTGGATGTTCTATTGGGATCTCACCAAGGCCAGCTGGCCTAGGTCTGAAAAAGCATGGGATAAATCCGGACTAGCTGAACATAGCGGACAATGAGGAATACTGAGAATTCAAGAACAATTGCAGTGGGTTTTTGATCCTACTGCACGTACTGGCTTTGTGGGAGCCTAGGCCGTTTGAATGCTCACCTTACGAGACCTGGATAGAGGTGGGCAGTCCTTGGGCTTCCCACAGGTCAGGGAACCCTGATTGCTCTTCAAGCAGATGAGGGGGGGACTTGATCGGGGGAGGGGGAGGGAAATGGGTAGCGGTTGTGGGGACGAGGCAGAAATCCTTAATAAATAAATAAATTTAAAAAATAAAAATAAAAATAAAAATAAAAAAAAAGATCTCAGGCTGGACAACAAGTTCTTTTACCCTCTGAGCCATCTTGCCCGTCTTAATATTTTTACAAATACTTAAAGTAGCATACTAATTTTGAACTGTAATTAATATATTTCCTGATTATTATGGGGAAAAAAATCACCACACTGAATTTAAAACGACATAAACTTTTGTTTTAAAACTATATGCAAATTTCTGGAATTCATAATAAACACCATTTGAAAATAAATTAAAAACTAGCAAAGAACCCAACAGAACATGATAATATGAAAATAATATGAAAAAAATAAAATGAACAAATTAAAATGTCTCAAAGAAAAGAATTTCAATACTACAATCTCAACTCCTAGTAGTTATTATAATTAAAGTTAAAATCATTAAGGATAAATAATAAATATGCAAGTGTCTTACAGTGTAAATCAACTATAGAGAGTCCAAATATCTGGCCTTACCTTCCAAGGAAATACCATGATTGGCCAGAATTAGGATCTTCCTCCAATGACTTTTGGAGATACTGAATAGCATACCTTTCCTTGGTGACCTTGTCTCCTACTAGATCCATATTATGATGCATCCAACCTATAATTTACAAATTACAATTATTGCCAGGGACACAATTGCTTAAGACTACTAGTTATTATAGCAAAATAAATAATGGATTGAGGTATGCCAAATATTCAAGTAAAACAACTATTTGTTTTGACTAGACCAATAAACGTTCATCAAAACATAACTCCAAAAAACAAACTGTATGTGTTTTGAAAGAACAAATCAATAGTGACATAAAAAATATTCATGCCACTAGTAGGTCAACAAAAACTTTTGAACACCTGTTCGGACCAAATAGAAAAACTTTATCCACAATACAAAATGTAATACAAACGAGATAACAAGCTTTACTAAATTACTATAAAATATACAATATTTACAGAGGAAACAGATATTGTTTCATATTATTTTCAAAGAGATTCTTTTGTCTGTATTTTAAAACCATAAAAATTCTTGAAGAAATTATAGAATTAGATATCTTATAACTTTTGAACAATTATATTAAAACTAATTAAACAATTTAAAATTATAGTTGTATAGAAACTGTCACTTCATCAACATCATTATTAAAAAAACCAAAAAACAAGTGTGGGAAGTATTCAAGTACTGTCATCCCCTCATTCATTATTGGGAGACACTAGTAAGACTTTAAAAGAAAGAGATAAGGGGCTGGAGAGATGGCTCAGTGGTTAAGAGCGCCTGTTCTTCCAAAGGTCCTGAGTTCAATTCCCAGCAACCACAGGGTGGCTCACACCCATCTGTAAAGAGGTCTGGTGCCCTCTTCTGGCCTGCAGACATGCACACAGAGAGAATATTGTATGCATAATAAATAAATAAATATATATATAAAAAAAAGAAAGAGATAAGCCGGGCAGTGGTGGTGCACTCCTTTAATCCCAGCACTTTAATCCCAGGCAGAGGCAGATCTTTGGGAGTTCAAGGCCAGCCTGGTCTACTAGAGCTAGTTCCAGGACAGGAACCAAAGCTACAGAGAAACCCTGTCTCGAAAAAAAATAAAATAGATACATTATTAGCCAGCGTCCTAGTGTTGGGAGGCAGAAAAAGGTAGATTTATGAATTGATGACCAGATTGGTCTACAAAGCTAGTTCCAGGACAGTCATGGCTATACAGAGAAACCTTGTCTTGAAAAAAAGAAATAAATGAAGGGAGGGAAGAGGGATCAGTAAAGAGTTGTATTTAAAAGCATGACGATATGCAAGGAGCTCAACAAAAAATACAAGTCTACTAGATCAAAAGTGGCAAAGTATTCATAAAAGAAATAAGAAAATATCCATGACATTATATTTAATCCTACAACACAAATATCTGAAGGAAAATGATCAGCAAAGAGATATTTTGTTAGACTTATTAAAACTTTATAAATTGATATAAAGTATGATAGAAGTTAAGTTTCTATGTACCTAACTGTTGCAATATAGTTGCTTTTACTTGAGATGGAAGGCTTTCAATTTGTAAAAGTTGTTCATAGGCTTCTTTTGCAAAATGGTATTTCTGCTAAGAAACAGAAAGGAAAACAGGTATTTAGAGAAAAAAGAAAAATATTTAATTTAGTATTAATATTCCTCTTTTAAAAGTAAACAAATGGCTATAACATTTTATATACTAAAAAGAAAACAGAAAATGTTTAAAATTAGAACAACATATACTCATCCTTTAATAGCTACAAAACTTCTTCCAGAAACCATAGAGATATAAAAATCTACAGCTCTTAGCCAGGCAGTGGTGGTGCATGCCATTAAGCCCAACACTCGAAAGAAAGAAGCAGGAGGATCCCTATGAGTTCGAGGCCAGCCTGGTTTACAGAGCTAGTTTCAGGACAGGCTCCAAAGCTACAGAGAAACCCTGTCTTGAAAACTCAATAAATAAATACATAAATAAGCGAATAAATTAATAAATAAATCTACAGATTTTAAAAGCTACAAGTCCCTCATGTAAAATAAGTGTTTGCATATAATCAATACATATCTCATCATATACTTTAATTCATGTCTAGATTATATTATATGACAATTTTAGTCTGTAAACAGTTTAAAAGACAAAAAATTATTAGCAATAAAAAGTGTTACCGTTGCAAACAATGTCTGGAAAAGCAACAATATAACATAAATATTAATACAAATTTTAAATATATATTCTAAAAACACTCTAGAAAAATACTATGGAGGAAGAAAAAATTAGGGTATTTTTACTGATAATATATTTTTCACGGATATAATTTTTACATCTATAGAAAACTTTCTTTCTTTCTCTCTTTCTTCTTTGTTTTTTGGAGACTGGGAATATTTAGCACATGCCTTTGATACCAAGCAGAGGCAGGCAGGCAGGCAGGCAGGCAGGCAGGCAGGCAGGCAGGCAGGCAGATCTCTGTGGGTACAGGGCAAGCCAGGAATACAGAGTAGGTTCTAGGACAGGCACACATAATTAATAACTGACCAACTGACAAAGTAGATATAAATATATAAAAATAAAATATATAAATATAAAAATAATGATTATTTTACTAGTAGACTACAGGCAGGCTGTGGGCAGCTATAAAGAAATCCAGAGCAAAGTTCCTTTTTATGTCTATATCTTTATTACAAATAACACTAATTCTTTCTTTACATTTTCAGAAGTATTACATGAAATGATATGTAGATAGTACTTTTATGACTGTAAATACATAAGCTTTCTCCATGTGTTTTCTCACATGAGATTTTAAATCACATATGAGAACTGAACACTGAACAGTATTTTTTTCCAACACCTAAGAACTGTTACATCTTTTATCTTTAAAAAAATAAAAAGGACTTCCTGTCCACTTCTTCAAGTAAATGCAAAACCAAAGGGACACTCAATAATTGATGAATAAGATAACCTTCATTAAATTTAAGAATTTTCCTATGCAAAAATGAAAATCAGTAGATTTAAAAGACACTCCCGTAAACATTTGTGAAACAGATAATTACTACCTAAAATATATAAAGAGCTCACACTATTCATCAGTAAGAACTTAACCCCCTGACATCATAAAACTTCAAATTAGGATCATAGTCTACATATATGTATTAGAATAGACAAGATCTTACTGACATAAAATGGTGTCAAAGAAGCACAACAGCAGAACCTGTATTATTTCTAGGAAAAAGGCAAAATAGTATAGTACCTTCATATGAAGAAATTACCTCATAAAAGAAATATGTCATTAAATCATGAACTAATGAGGATTAAAGGCATAAGGAAAGCAAAGAGGCTAAGCTGAGCATTATGGCTCAGATCCCAGTACTGGAGAGACAAGTAGAACTCAAAAGCCATTCTAAATTACATATTTAGTAGAAAGTCTGTGCTACACAAACCATTATTGAGCTTACAACCATAAGAAAAAGAAGAAAATATTATTAAAAGTCTATATACTCTAATTCCACATCTGTGATGATCTGTCTCTAAAATACAACACTGTAAAACATTGGAGAAAAGAAGAGTGAGCGGCAAAAAGACTTAGGACATGAACCCATTTGTCAATGTAGCATTAAGAGTGCATTCATTTGATTAAACTTACAAAAATATCCCACAACAGGAATAAATTCTAATGTAAACTATGGGCACCAAGATATAGTGATATGTCAGTGAAATTTTACCAGTAACACTAACAGTGTACCAACAAATTGATAGCTGTTGAGGATGCTACAAATATCAGTTAAGGAAGGGGATATACTTGAAATATCTGATGAATGAGTAAATAAATAACAATAAAGAAAATAAAAATTAAGAAATAAAAAATATCCCTACCAATTATTATTGTGCAAGTAAAACTTGCAATAAAAAAGAAAAACGACAAAAAGGAAACAATAATATATATTCTAAAAGCATTAATAAATAAAACTCTATATTAGATTTTAAGACAAGTCAGAAAACCAATTAGATTAATCCAAAAAATGAAGGTGAAAGGATTAATAAAAAATTTAAGGTATCTATTTGCTTTTATGTATATGTGTTTCTTCTAAACACATGTGCCATATATACATACATACTTACATACACATACATACCATACATACCAAACACATGCAGTGCCCAAAAGCAACAAGATGGTGCCAGAACCCCTGCAACTGAAGTTACAAAGAGCAGCTATCTGGATGTGAAGGATTTTAAGGAGCCTTCTGCATGAGCAGGTTGTGCTCTTCATCAGTAAACCATTTCTCTAGTCCCCAACTGAAATTATCAATCAAAAGTATTATAAAAATGATGCTTTTTGGCAGAATGAGGATTTGGGGATTTCTGATTAGCAAACAGATGAACACTTCTCATATAGTTGATTGGCCATTATAGTTGAAGCATAGAAGACAGTTGAGGATGATTTGAACTGGGGATATGGCTCAAGGAGTTTTTGAGGGTGTGAAAATATTAGCAAGTGGCAAAGAGACCATTCTCATTATCTTTTGGCAAAGAATGTAGCTGCTTTCTGACCTTGTCAAAAAAAAAAAAAAAAAAACTTGCCCAACACTAAAATGAACAGTTGTTGATTGATGGCTTTAATAGAAGAAACTTCAAGGCAGCCTCGTATTGACTATGAGGCTTGGTTTGCAAAGGCCACACTTCTGTAGCCCTATATAATGAAAAGGTGCAAGGTGAGCAAGGGACAACACAAAATGTAGTTTGAACCTTTGTTTCTATGGACTGCCTGCACCAAGCAGGGTAGGCGCTTTGTTTGTGACCTGCCCAACCAGCGCTGAGGCCTGATCTCTCAGCGCCAGGAGACCCAGCATTGGGGTGAGTTTCTGGCCCCGCGGCGCCAGCCTGGGAAGGGGAGCTCAGAGGTTCCTTGGCCCCCTATCCTTCTTGGGCTCTCGGCAGGGCCTCTACTCCCTGCACACTGACTCTTTCTTCCTAGCCCACACAGCTTCCATCCAGAACCCTCCCCACTTTGGCCCCACCGCCTTCTTTCGGCACATAACATCACCCAGCCCAGCCTGTCTGGGCACTGGGTCCGAATCCTCTGGGCACCCAAGTGGGCAGAGTTCCTATGTTTCAATGACCTGCCTGCACCAAGCAGGGTAGGCGCTTTGTTTGCAAGCTGCCCAACCAGCACGGACACCTGATCTCTCGGCGCCAGGAGAGCCAGCGTTGGGGAGAGCCAGCCTTGGGTAGGCAAGGAGACCTGATCTGGTAAAAGAAGATCCATAAGGGATCATATGGAAGAAGAGATGGGCAGACACCAAGGGAAGAATTCGCGCAACATGCTGAAAAGCAACATGAAGCCACAAGAAAACAGCGACCTCAAAACAGGAGGGCATGAACACCTTAATCAAGAAGAAGTAGAAATATTGACTTCATGAAAGTGATTGATGACCTTAAACAGCATGTAAAAAACGCCTTTATGGAAATGGATGAGAAATATAACAGAATTGAATAAATCAGTGAATGATATCCTAGAAAACCAAGGAAAAACAATCAAACAGATAATGGAAACAGTTCAAGACTTGAAAACTGAAATGGAAGCAAAGAAGAAAACACAAACAGAGGGCAGGCTGGACATGGAAAATTTAAGTAAACAAACAGAGACTACAGAAACAAGCATAACCAACAAAATACAAGAGTTAGAAGAAAGAATCTCAAACTCTGAAGATACCATAGAGAAAATAAACACACTGATCAAAGTCCAACAAACTCTCATCACAAAACATTCAGGAAATCTGGGACACAATAAAAAGACCAAACCTAAGAATAATAGGAGTAGAAGAAGGAGAAGAGGTGAAGCTCAATGGTCCATAAAATATATTTAATAAAATTAGAGAAGAAAACTTTCCCAACAAAAAGAAAGATATACCTATGAAGGTTCAAGAAGCATAGAACACCGAATAGGCTGTATCAAAAAAAAAAAAAAACCCTCGCCATATAATTATCAATACACAAAGCATACAAAATAAGGAAAGAATATTAAGAGCTACAAAGGAAAAAGGCCAAATTACTTATGAAGGTAAACCTATCAGACTTACACCTGACTTCTCCATGGAAACCATGAAAGCCAGAAGGTCCTGGATAGATGTACTGCAGAAACTGAGAGACCATGGATGCAAGCCCAGACTACTGTACACAGCCAAGCTTTCATTCACTATAAATGGAGAAAACAAAATTTTCCAGGATAAAAACAAATTTAAACAATACGCAGCCACAAATCCAGCCTTACAGAAAGTAATAGAAGGAAAATCACTAACCAAGGAGTCCAACAATGACCATAATAACTCAGACATCTAGAGACCCTTCACCAACAAAAATCAAAGGAGGGAAACACACAAACTCTACAACTAAAAAAAAGACTGGAGTTAACAACCACTGGTCATTAATATCACTTAATGTCAATGGACTCAACTCACCTATAAAAAGGCACAGGCTAAGAGACTGGATACGAAAACAGGATCCACCAGTCTGCTGTTTACAAGAAACACACCTAAACCACAAAGACAGGCAACTACTCAGAGTAAAGGTCTGGGAAAATGCTTATCAAGCAAATGGAC